TAGGGAAATAACTGCAAAGGCCCCGTTAATATGAGTTAACTATAAAATTTAACTATACTAAATTTTAGCCCCAACATTCATAGGTGCCAACTCCATGAGTGCTCAGCATCCATCTTTCTCCCTCTTCTTCTCACCTCCTGCCCCCTGGGAGCCCCACTGATCAGCTCTTCCCTTGCCTTCCCAGTGCCTCCTGCCTGCCATAATCAACTGTTCCATGGTGTGCAAGAGGTGCTAAGGGAAGGGGATATGGGGGAAATGGTAGAATGGGGTGGGGCCTGGAGCTGAGTGGGGGTTGAATACTCTGAGAAAAGGAAAAAGCCAGCACTTGTGCCAACATTACTTGCAAAATAGGTGGGGAGGAGGGGAGAAGGGGGAAGTCTCAGGCCATGACTGAAAGCACAGATGCTGACAGCTTGGGAAGGCAATAAATATAAACTTCTTACAAATAGATCTTTAAGTCCAAAAAAGAGCTGTTATGATCCTCTAGTCTGTCCTACATAGCATAGGCTGTAGCTTAGCCAGTGAACTCTGCATGCAGCCCATGATCTTTGGAGGAGCCTCAACGTATTTCCTGGAAAGACCTCTCCTATCTTGATTTAAATTCCAGGTAGCAGCAAACCCACCCCATACTTGTGTAGGGCATGAGCATTAGTTCTGCTCTAGGGGATGCAGCATACCGGTGTGTCTAAACTGCAAGAAAAGACCCACGGTAGCAAGTCTCAGAGCCTGGGGCAACTAACAAAAAAGCTCATGGGCTGAACACAACAGTGTAGAAGTTTGGTCTGGACCCTGGGCTCAGAAATCTGCTGTGAGGAGAGGGTCTCTGAGCCCAGAGGTCAGATCAATCATCCACACTGCTACTTTTAGCTGGGTGCATAAGCCTGAGTCAGGTGGTCCCAGATCTAAGACTTTTTGCAGTGGGTTTTTTTTAATTGCAGCACGGACATACCTGTTATACAAGTGCACCCACCTCCAAGCTGTTTTCTCTCACTTCTAAGTCGGTCTGCTCTATTTGTGCATCTTATGCAGGGTCATGAAGAGGTGAAAGGAATCTGAGCAAGTCCTGAAGATCAATTCCGGTGTCATGCTCTGACAGTGCATTACTACATCTGCTCTATGATGCTGCATTGTCACAACCGAAGCATAGTCAAGGGGCTATGTGGCCTGTGGACATTACATAGGTTGGTCTACACATAAACACTGGACAAGAATTCCTCCTCTCCTTCCCATCTCTCACTCCTTCTGCCTCCGCCCTGGCTAGTTGCTTGGACATGAAGGATGGTTCACATATAATGGGTACGTCTACATGTCAAGTTGAAGGTACAATTCCCAGCTCAACAAGACATATCCACACTAATTCTGAAGGACCTACATGCTAAAAATAGATGCATCGCTGCGGCAGCTTCAGGAGCTAGCTGCCCCGTGTACAATCCCTTCTGATGGCTAGTCCCTCCTGTTGCTCACACCAGCACGACTACACTCTGTTTTTAGCATGCTAGCTTTATCAGAGCTAGTCTGGCTATGTCTCCATGAGCTAGGAATCACACCTCTAAATTGAAGTGTTAACATGCCAGCACATACTGATCCGTTACCTTTCAAATGCTCTATTTCTCAGATTAAAAATAACAATAAGGGAATGACCAGCACCTAGGCAGGGAAGGATCAATTTTATCTTCCATCACTCTGGTGGGGATTCACCCAGAAAGAAGCCAGATAGTATTACAACTAGAGTTCCTCAGGGATTTCTGGAAGGGGAGGTGAGGAGATTTAGTTTACGCCTGGGTTTTTCTGGAAATCTTTCTGGTGGACACTGGTGAGACTATATTGAGTCAGAACATCCAATGGACATACTCCTTGGCTAGCACCACCCATTTTTTGGTCATTGCTGCTCTCCTAACTTCCCTGGTGAAGGAAATTACAGTTACTTTGTGCTGCCACAACCTCTTCTTGATGGACTTTCTATCCTGAGGATTCTTTGCCAAAGTTCTCACCAGAATAGATCATTGCAAGCCCTGGGTGAATTTGCCCTGAACTACTATTATGAATCTAGCAAAGAATTAGCAGCTGCTAATTTCACAACTCCTGCATTATCAAGGTTTGTATGAAACACTAATTTTTTGTGGACTTCTGAAATAGGATCTCATTTTAAGGACTTCTTTCCAACAGATGAATAGCTGAAATTGAACTGAAAATTAGGAACGTGCTCAATGCTGAAAATAATCATCAAAGAATGAAGCGGGGAAAAGAAAGAACTTGCAAAAATTATAGTTCATCATTATCATTTTAAAGTGCCACTGTTTGTAAAGCATACACATGTGAGAGGCTGAATCGCATTTGATCAACCCAATTAAACATTAAATAATTGCAGCCAATTATGCAAATATCACACAACAATTATTAATTTGTTGATCTTTTTTGAACAGCCTCAAATGTTCCTAATGTTAGACTATCTTATTTCTTAAATGATCAATTAGTGTAACCATAACTAAGTGATGAAGAATGGATAATTGCCTAGTTATGATGTACCATACCCTTTCTATGTTAATCTGCTACAATTAAACAAATAGTGCACATGGAAGAGATGTGCAGATGTTCTTTTACCATCTATCAGCACAGTTGCTTCATAAACTTTATGGGCTAAAATAAGGAGAGCACAGTATCTCTCAAGAGCTCACTCTTATTTACAAACGTTATTTCTTATAATTTTATGATAAAAGGATTAAATAATACCGATACAGAATGCAGGCTATGTATTCCCACATAAGATTGTCATGCAAGATCAAAATATTCTGCTGGTTTGTTATGTCCTGATAGTTCTTTTTATTTAGGATATAATGTTTAAAACCTGGTACCTATTCACTCAGAGCCTGAATGAAAATAATCCAAGACTGTTTGAATTTACCAAGAAAAAGCAAAAGTATTCACAGAGGCGTCTCTAGCTGACTGAGAATATACAACATGGTTTCACTATTTTCCCCTTGGGAAATAGTTCACATTTTTGTGGACCTTCTAATTTTGTCTTACATTAGCCCTTGCATTTTTGAGGTCTCAGCAGTATATGAGTTAAAGAGATAAAAGAAGGTCTAACTCCGGTCTCCCCACGAGTCAGTGTCGACCACAACAACTAAAGCCAATGTCCAACCCCACCTCAAATAACTGTAGTCTGATTTAAGAACAGTTTCACTTACCTCTTTAAGGCAGGGGTTCTCAAACCTGTGATACTGCGCCTCCCTCCCCCCCTCCATTGCTGCAACCAGCTTCTCAGTTGCTCGCAACCCCCCTCTAAGTTGCTTGCGACCCCCCCATGGGGTCGGGACCCACAGTTTGAGAAATGCTGCTTTAAGGTGTTAACCACTCTAAATCAATCATTGTAACTGGTCTTCATTTCTTCACTCTGACTTGTGAGTAGATTACTGTCAGTATTGTCCATGGGGAATTTGACGTGTAACGTCTCTTAATACTATACATAATAAGTATGGGTGTTGCACATCCCATCCCCCAGGCACCTCAGTCAAAAAGAACCACCTAGATTTTTGCTGTCAATTATCTAAGTTAACCATGAGGAAACAGGTTACAATTCAGTAATCGGAAGCCATTTAGTCTCACTGATTACGTAACTTGGTAATAAGCTCCATGACATATACTCCAGTCAAAGGCACTCTTCAGTTATGGTACTTGCCTTGTTGGAAAAACTCCTCTACCCCATATCATATCTCAACGTAGCCCTCATGCATTTTTCCACCAGACCAATAATACAATACATTGCAAGAAACTCGACAGAGACCAGAGCATAGTACAGATTCAAACTGTGAGTAGAAGAGATACACGGTACTAGTGCTACCATGAACAAAACAACACGTTGTGCTTGTAGGTATATTCTAAATAGAACACTGTCCAACCACTGACTCTGAACAATTGTCACCTATAACCTTCAACTGTTCTTCATTAAGGTTTCTGAATAGACTGCAGCAGGATGTGTCTAACCCACCACTCAAGGGACCAGGAGAAAAGGATGGCCTAGAAGAGACTGAGTGTTAATGTTTGACCAAATACTGTACAAGAAAACCCTGAGGATAATTTAATCTGGTGATTTACACAGGGGTCTGCTCATGTAGTGTATGCAATAGGTGGTGTCTATTAGAAATTGTTGGAGAGAAACTTCCCCCTCCTTATTAAAAAATACTAGTAAGTTCCCAGAACACTTGCTGTATGGCTATTGCAAAATAGAGGGTCTGATACGCCTTCCTGTTAGACTAATTTTATGCAGGTTTAACTCCACATCTATGAAGCTAGATCAGTTTTATGCCAGAGGAACAGAAGAATCAGGCTCTCAGCATTTTGGAGGATTGCTACAGAATACTGTAGTTTCTTTGTTGGCAAGCGGTATCTTAAAGCTAGGCGAGAAAAGTGTGCACATAAATGAGAAAGCGTATGCGGATGGTAGCATACTTAATAGCTAAAAGAAAATGTGCAGAAGTTATTTCCCTAATGATTAATTTCCCTAACTATGAGCTCTGTATCTGTCTCCAAGTGACACCAAAAGTGTGTTCCATGAGTCTAATGGTGTACAAAGGGGGAATAGTGGCATTAGAAGATGACAAAGGGTCAACGAAATTCATCAGTGTGGGCACTGTTCCACTGGCAAGCAGGGGAAGATGTAGGAGAACCCATACTGAACCCATGCCGATGGCGAGTGGGGCAGCAAAGGGGGCAATTGCCCTGGGACCCGATGATATAAAAGGGCCAAGAGTTCCTGGCCTCTGCTGTTGTTACTACAGGGAGGCAGTGGTGGTGGCTGGAGTCCCAGCCCCTTTAAATTGCTGCTGGAGTGCTATATGATGTGGTCCAGGCAGCACCAAGGACTGCCTGGGAGAGGGTCGGTGCTTTCCCGGTGCACTAAGGCTACCTAGCCCCAGCCCCTCCCTTCCACCTGAGGCCCTGCCCCTTCCGGGGTCATGGATCAGGGTCTTTCCTGCCTTGCCCTAGGGCCCGTCTCACAGTTGGCCCCACTGCCACGGCCTTTTCAGAAAACAGAAAGATCATATTAAGAAACAAGTGGGCCAGCCAGGACAGGGAGCACGGTAAAGCTGTGGGTGAGGAAAGATCACTTTGCTGGTTCTTGTAAGCTGATTTAGGACTGGTGTCGCCGGGCTCTGAAGGGCGGAAAAAATTATCCATTGTCCTAGGACATAAACGAAATAGGATGAAGGGATAGAGACTGTTCCCTTAAGTAATGGGCAACATTTTTTATATGGCAGTCTGCCCCAATAGTGGTGGCAGTTGAAAAAACACTGAGGCTTACGCTGAAGAGCAGTTGAAGAATACTTGACAAGTTTTGGGACTGCCCATAAGACACAAGGAGGCACCAAGAAAAGAATTGGGACAGTTCTATTGCTTACATCTAGCACCTCTAAGAAGAAGACAGACTTCTATTAGCAAGACTACAGTAGAACTCATAATGATTGTGTTCACATTGCCTGGCATGTGGAAACAATCACCCTGGGGAAGAAAGGGACAACACTGACTACCGTACACACAGCTCTAAACAGGCAGCTACAGAAAAATCGTGATTGTTCTGGTGTAACGGTTTGGCCTGTCGCATAGTGTATGGAAGGTCCGATCCCCTCCACTTCATGACACCAGGAGTGTCCACTCGCTGTCTTCTCTTCCGTACTGAAACAAAAACAAAACAAATTTCAGGGAAAAAAGGTAACTCTGCACCAACAAATTCTCCTGGGACCCAATTCTTGTTCACTCTAAGGCTACGTCTATGCTGAACCCTTCTTCCACAAAAGCTTATGCAAATGAAGCGTGGAATAGAATATCGCTGTGCTTCATTTGCATAAGTAGGGGACATTTTTGCAAAAGAGGCTTTTGCGCAAAAAGGAGCCGTGTAGACAGCTCTTTTGCACAAAACCCCCTCTTGCGCAAGAGCCGTTCTTCCGCATTTTTTCTACTCCATGCTTCAGTTGCATAAGTTCTTGCCGAAGAAGGGTGCAGTAGAGAGGTAGCCCAGTGCCCTTTTCCACCACTCTGGCAGGGTAACAGGACTTCAGGTTGCAGAAAGCATAACTTACACCCACTTTAAAGTTCCTTTCCACTGCCATAGCTACCGCCTATAGAACAGGCTTATTTCTGGTTTTATGCCTTAGCTACAGGGTCTGTTTTGAACAAACGTGAAGGCAGTGTGACACTTTATCCATCATTATGTGAGTAGGCTGTGAAGGGGTGATGATACTTTCCTGGGAGGTGACACAAAGCAGACAAGTCCTGCTTTGATTGGCTGTGTCTATATGCATGTAATACAACCTGTGTGAAAGACACACAATTCTTTCCCAGGGTCACTTTACTAATCTACTCATATGTACTCTCATGCAAATATGTTTGTTTTCTCTTTTTTTATTTTCTTTATTAAACCTGAAATAAATCTATCCACAAATACTTCAGAGTAAAATTAGAGAAGATGTTACACCAGTATAGTAAACCAAACCAAACAGAGCTACTGTGGATGAAGAACGAGTCTGTTCTCACAGTGTAACAAACAGGATTACAAAAGGGAGGGATGGACCTTCTGTCTCCTTCCAAGCTTAGGAACAGTCCCATGGCAGAAGACAGTTAGCTATGTCACTGACACTACCTTTGCAGGTACACAGTTCAAAGGGTCTCCGTCACAAACCCTGTAATCAGACACAGCTCATTCATTTAGCTAAATTACATATGGACACAGGTTAGTAGTAGCTGGGGGTGCGTCTAGACTACAGGGTTTTGTCGACAAAAGTGGACTTTTGTCAACAAAACTATACCTGCGTCCACACTACCGCTGAGTTCTGTCGACATAACGTCGACAGAACTCAGCAGTTTTGTCGACGCTGGTAAACCTCATTTTACGAGGCATAACGTCTTCTGTCGACAGAAACTCTGTCGACAGAAGATGTTATTGCATGTAAACTGTCCTTTGCGTCCACACTACCATGTCGACAAAGCAGCTTGCTTTGTCGACAGAACTCAATGTAGTCTAGACGCTCTTTGTCGACAGAAGCCTGTAGTCTAGACGTACCCTGGGTGACTGGATCCTCCTGAGAGACGATATGGAAACTCTCTGCAACAATGGGACAAGGAACTGTTCAGAGTTTAGACTGGCAGGGCCATTTATGACTGTGAAGCTCCCTTTCCACTTCTACATCACCAGTGAGAGAGACCAGAGTGGGCCTGGATGGAGAAAGGACTACAGGTATATAAATTAGCCCTTGGAAGAACCAAGAAAAGAGACTACTGGAGCCTAAGAGGGCTGAAGATTGTTTTGGGTTTGGACTTTTGTTTACCTCTGGAAGGTGAGGCCTTTGACTTTTGACTAATGGGTCAAGTATACCACAATAGTAACGGCATACCCTTGCTAGAGTGAAACAGCAGTACAAGCAGAGACAAAGGAAATCAGTAAATGATGTGGGACTGTGGTTAAGAGGACAGGTGGAAGTAAAGTCTAATCTGAAATATCAGACATATCAACTCAACTATTATATATATTACAGTGTCACTTAGAAGCCTGAGATCAGAGCTGCACTGTGCTAGGTGCTATGTAAACATAGTCTGAGACAATCCCTGCTGTGAGAGGTCTACAGTCTAAACAGACACACTTGGCAAGTAATACCCTCGTTTTACAGATAGGAGAGAGGCATAGTAATAAAAGAGCTTGCCCAAAGTCACAAAGGGAACTGCGACAGACTCAGGAATGGAACCCAGACCTCAATTCAGTGCTTTTGCCTCTGGCTACCTCTAGATTTCACATATGGGTCAGACTAAAAGGACAAAAGAAAGCTGAGTGGCATCTGCATATGGAAGGCACCCTCTGCCACATGTACCTCTCCCCAGTATACATGTGGAAATGGAGACAAACCTTAGGGCAGAAAAGCAATCTAAAAGATCAGTTCCCAAGAAGAGAAAAGCACTTGGCTTGATGCTGTGTTCAATTAAAAAAACCTGCATTTGGGAGTGCTATCTTGGAAGGCAAGTGGTGAGGCAGCTATCTGTACAACACAACCCCACCATGCCTTCCAGCAGTCTCTTGGGGATATCTCTTCTTTTTGCTAATTCTGCAATCCCTGAACACAGGTTTGCAGCAGAGCTGACAGAACATGTTATATCATGATCAAAAAGCAGGGGGCTCCATTCCTGACATTTCCAGGTCAGTTCCCTATCCCCACCATTGGGTGTTTCTTGCTTCTCTGGCATTGAAAAACCAGCCATTGTGCCAGTTTAACCAACCAGTGCAGGATTCCTCCAGCACAGGGCAATCCCTGGGTGGCAAAGAGCCACTGTACTGTAGAGGGCATGATTGAAGAAAAGGGAACTCTGCAGATCCCTTATAGGTGAAACAGCCCTTTGGGAGCCCTAGACAGCTGGTATAAGTCGCGGCAGCTCTGAGACTCCTGTGATATACTAGAAATTGGCCTGGCTCAAGGATTGGGCAATGAGGCACCAGAAAAGCTCCTGTTTGCCTTCACACCCATGCAAGCTGCACTGAGCAGAGGTGGCATAAAAATTTTCCATTAAAAGAGGTAAGTTCTCTATGTTGACATTTACTCTGTTAATTAGGATAATTACTGCTGTTAATTCACCTGTCAAGTAACTGGGGGTATGTCTACACTACAAAGTTAATTCGAACTAACAGACGTTAGTTCGAATTAACTTTGATAGGTGCTACACACGCGAACCGCTAGTTTGAACTTAATTCGAACTAGGTAAACCTCATTCCTCGAGGACTAACGCCTAGTTCGAATTAAGGGCTGTGTAGCCACTTAATTTGAACTAGTTGGAGGCTAGCCCTTCCCAGCTTAGGTGCTACACACGCGAACCGCTAGTTTGAACTTAATTCGAACTAGGTAAACCTCATTCCTCGAGGACTAACGCCTAGTTCAAATGAACTAGTTCGAATTAAGGGCTGTGTAGACCCTTAATTCGAACTAGTGGGAGGCTAGCCCTCCCCAGCTTTCCCTGGTGGCCACTCTGGGCACCACCAGGGAAACTCGTCTGCCCCCCTCCCGGCCCCGGAGCCCTTAAAGGGGCACGGGCTGGCTACACTGCCTACCCAGCCCTTCGCCTCTTCCCGGGACCAGGCTGGCGGCTCCCGGGAGCCTGCACAGGTCTGCAAGAAGCGGGCGCCCACCTGGTTTAGTGCAGACATTGTGGACCTCATTCACGACTGCCGCACTAGGCACAGGAAAGTGGCCGTCTCGGGCAGGAGAGGTGCCAGCCTGGCTC